CTGAGAGCATGGGGTGGGAGAGGCATGTGCACATCCCTGGGGCTGCCTCTGCCTAGCCTGGGTGTGCAGCTCCTGGGAGCTAAGGGGTTAACCCCCCACACACTTTCTGGCTACAGACTGCTTGCTTCAGGAGGGAGCAGAGCTGGGTCTGTACCAGGCTGCTCCTCGTAGGCTGTGTGGGGGTTCGGAGAGCCCCTTCCCCAACCACCCTCTGCACCTAGCCAAGCCCCAGCCAGCCCTGGGCAGCCCCAGAGCTGCAGCCTGCAGTCAAAGGGTTGGTCCAGGAAAGGAAGAGACTCTGCCCCATCTTGCCTCTCCTTGCCCTAGTGCTGCTGCCCTGCCAGTGAGTGCGCTAGGGGGACAGGAGAGGGGTAAAGGAGGATCGGGGGCAGGATGGGAGGGGACCGGGTTTGTGCTAAGGGGCATAGGGTGATGCAGGGGATCAGGCTTGGGAGAACCATGGGGCTGAGGGGAGTGAGACTGAAGCAGAGGGAAGATGTGAGGGGGGGAGGATACAGTCTTACTTTGCAGAAGCTGCTCTTTCCTTTACTCCCCACTTCTTTGCCTCCTTCCCCAACTAGCTACCTGGCTGCATTCTCACCCTCACCTTTTCTGTTTCCCCATCCCCCTCCCGCCCCCAAACTCTCTCATATACCCCACCCCTCATCCTCTTCTGCTGTGAAACTCCCTTCTATATCTTGCCCTCCCAGCCCTGTCCCACACATTGAACCCCTCATTTTTTCCCACCCCAGAACCTAAGGGGGTTTCCAAAATCCATTAATTCTGGAACCCCAGAAAAGTAAATCCGGCCTATGAGAAGCCCTGAACCTTAGTCTTCCCCTCACCACATGGGGACTGGAGTTTTGGAGATTTTTGCTTCTCACTTTTGTGGTCCCCAACTGATGTTTTTCTGTAGGTCTGTGACCCCAACCCAAAAAAGGTTCCCCACCCCTGCCATAAATAAAGAAAACATTGATACCTTTTGCATTGGACATGGTATTTTACTTTATTTAAAATGAAGTTTGATAAACTAACATGAGAAAATTAAAATGCTTAATCTGTTTACATAATTACTCCCAAGTCATTTTATTAGTGCTGCAGCTGGGGAGAATGGTTTAATTTAAATTATTAATTAACAGTGAGCTTCCATTAGCAACTGGTAGTCCACGGAAAGTTTTGCATTGACCCAGGTAGTCCATGGGGCATGTGGTGGAGAGAGCCTCTCCCCCCTTTCTGGGGGAGTGGCGTGGCTTGGCCCAGGGCAGGAGGGTTAAATCTTGGGAGAGGCTCTCTCCACCCTTTCTGGGAGAGTGGCGTGGCTTGGCCCAGGGCAGGAGGGTTAAATCTTGGCACACAGCTTCAGAAAGGTTTCTGATTGAGGTATTTCAAACTGTTGGTGGGAGCAGGGAAAATATACCATGGAGATGGGTGCTGTATAGAACAGATCTGGATGCTCTTTCATACTTCCACTGACTTCTGTGTGGTCTTGGACCAGTCACTTCATGTTTCTGTGCTATAGATTCCACAGAGGAGATTCACTTGCAGGAAATGCGGATAGGCATGGAGGATTATGGGGGGGTCTCTGCCTGTCAGGGATAGCTCAGGTTTCTGCAAACACAAGTGCTCTTTAATTACAGCTATTTCCCACCCCCACCTTAAAATCCATGTACAGGTTTTTCACAGCCAAACTCTGCCAGCAGCAGGCACACAAGCCCTAATCCTCTCTGCCTTGCCTTTCTCTTCTCCCTTCCTCCCAGCCTTTAGAAGCCCTGGCTAATTAAGCTAGCAGCTGTTTCTCATTGCCAGGTGAGCACAGGGTTATTCAACCAGCCCCAATCCTTTCTCCTTATTTGGGCTGGAGTAGCAAGGATTGATTAAACCATCCTTACTCAGCCCCCATCACAGGGATACAATTCTGGGAGAGGGATTCACAACCAGAGTAGGACAGGCACAGAGAGGACTGATTTAAATCAAAATGAATCTGGCAGTCCATGGGCTACCTTGCCTCTAAAACATTAAATTTTGATTAAATTGAGTTTTTCCATCATTTGTGCCTTTTCTGTATTCCTTGCACGTATTTAACTTGATAAATAATATAAAGCAGACGTGAGAGACTTTTTGTTTAGTTTCATTTTCTAATTTTTATGCACTTTTAAAAGACTGAAGTGATGGATTATAAACAGTCCAGGGGAGTGGTTAAATTGGTTGAGGGTTTAAAAATACTTAAAACATACTAATAGGCATTAATGTTCTTGAATTCAACTTTTAAGCAAAAGTAGGGATGTTAGCGAGTAGCTGACTTCTTGATTACCCGATAAGTATAAGTTTATCAGGTAGTGGAGTGGAGTTCTCAACTACTTGCTTCCCCTCGCCTTTGCTGCCTCTGTATGAGATGCAGTAAGGGGTGGGGGTCAGGAGTGCAGTGCCCCCAGCCTCCCCACCCCACTGCAAGGGGGGAATACAGAAAGCTGCTGCGAAGTAGCCCCTCTCCGCGGGTGTCCGAGCGGGTAGCTGGGTCCCCACTGTGGACAGGCTGCTGCCACCAAGCAGCCCGTTCACAGCATCTGGGCTCACCGTGCACAGGGGGTGGTCTCGCATGGACAGCCATGGCCACTGCGAACAGGGGCTGCTTGACTTGGCACAAGCCAGAACTGACCAGTCCTGGTTCGCACTGGTCTGGGACGCTGTACCTCTGCATTTTAAATGTAGAAGGAGCCCGGTGGCTCTCACTATATTTAAAATGCAGAGGTGCAGCGTGGGTGGCTCCCAGAGCTGGCGCAAGCCAGGACTGTTGAGTCCGGGCTCGTGCCAGCTCAGAAAGCCGTTGCAGCTCTGCAGTGCAGCCCCTTATCGACTAGTGTAATCAATACAAATTGTATGGACTATACGATTAGCCAGATAACCACAGTTTAACATCCTTAAACAAAAGTAGAAAAGGAATGTATACTTCAGCAATAGCATACAGAAGTAGCACAGCAAGAGCCTTGCTCAGAATGGAGTCGTCTAGACTACATCCCCCTTTCAAAAGGGGGATGTAAATGAGCCCAATCGAAAGTGCAAGTGAAGCATGGATTTTTCAGGAATATGGGATCTTTTGAGAGAGGGATTTTTTTCCCGAAAGCACCACCTCTAGACTGCGGTTTCACTTTCAAAATATCTTTTTTCGAAACAGCGCTCTGATATGAATATGCAAATAAAGCGCAGGATATTTAAATCGCACTTCATTCGCATTTTCGATCTGGCTCATTTACATCCCTCTTTTGAAAGAGGGACGTAGTCTAGGTAAGTCCAATGCTGCGGTCCAAGACTTTGGTTGAGATCTTGGGACTCATGTCAGCTGTCAAACAAATATGTGGGGACAGTCTCTTCTCCAAAGAGCTGACAGTTTAAGCATCACAGTCTTGTAAACACACCATGAGTAATTTTTCCCCTTAGTGAGTAGATCCATTGCAGGAGAATCTGGGCCAAAGGAAACAAAATAGATGAAGGCGTTCAATATACGTGCAGAGTAGTCAGCGATGCTAAGCGTGTGGGTTAGTGGTAGTGGCCTGGAACTTGGGAGATTCACCCCTGGGAACAATTTGGAAATGGCAACTGTGAGCTGTTGCAACCCTGTGACCCCAGATGGTTGCCCCACTATCACTGAGGGAGAGAAGTGGGAGAAGATAATTAGGTAAGGAGGGGAAAGTAGAGCCTAAATAACCCCCAACTTGCGACCTTATCCCTGGAGCCGATCACGTTGCAAGTCGGGGCCATCCTGTACAGATAATACAGAACATTTTGGTAGCACATAAATGAATGAAAAGTACATGGCAGTGTCAACTGCAGCAATGACTTGACTCATAGCCTTTCAAAAAAGAAAAAATGCAGGCTAATTCTGAGTTTCTCTTTTAAACGAATATGTTCTCTACTGATGTTTTTGCAGCCCATACCTCGACCAGATCCAGTAGATAACAAAGAAGAAACACATGATCAAGTGCTGAAATCAAGATTAAAAGTCAAAGAGCTAAAGAATAGCACAGGACCTACATATGAGGAACTCAGCAAAATGTTTTATACAACAAAACATCGCTGGTACCCTGTGGGACAGTAAGTGTCTTTTCTAAAATACTTGTGCTTTTGGGATTGAAGGAAAGGAGGAATAAATAACGTGGGCCAAATTTACCCCTACTGTAACTCATGAGGTATGACATAAGGTTTGCATGAGATCAGGCTACTCAGGTTACATAACACTCAAAGTTCACAAATTTCATTGCACCACAACACTTTTCTCACAACAATTTACTACACAACCCCAGAAAGGGGCGGGGGGGCCACCTGTATCCACCCACCTGAGCCCCACTGCTCCAGGTCAGTGGGGCCACAGCCTGAACCTCACCGTCTCAGGGAAGAGGCAGAGTCAAAGCCCAAAGGGTTTCAGTCACAAGTGTGTACCTTGTAATCTGAGACCCACCATCCAGGGTTGAAGCTGTTGCATTTCAGCTTTGACTCCAGGTGGTGTGGTTTGGGCATGGACTTTGACACTGGGCCCCAGCAAGTCTAATCCTTGTGACCTAATTAAAATGGGATTGCAACCCACTTTGTGGTCCTGACCCATCATCTGAGAACCTTTTATGTAGGGGTAAATTCGTTAAAGAATTTTCATTGGAGGTACTGTCTTATGACACTTGCCTTGGTGAGATTCTAAAGTAATGTAAAGCACCTTTGACCAAGAGCATTAGTTGCTGCCTAATATCTCTGTTGAAGATAAGATCTGCTCTGAGCAGGGTTAGATGACATCGTGCTTACCAGTGGCAGTCCACACTAGAACTTCTAACATTCCAAACAACAGTGGAGCTACACCAACATCAGCAGCAGTGATAAGCTTGGTAATAAATCCATAGTATAGAAAAGACTTCAATTGTTGACCTCAGATCTCCCATTTTGGTCAAATTACTTTCTCTTTCAGATGTGAATTTTCAAATTTGTTGTATAGTGTATTTGTTCTTGCAGCAGTAGAAGATGCACTGTTTATGTAGATAACGTTGTCAATAGGAGACAAGTGTATTGAGTAGCTCTTATGTATCTTTTTATAGGGCTATTAATATGTAATCTTTTACTGGCTAAAATCAAATCCTGATAGGAAAATCTAAGAAGCTTTACCAAACTGTTATCACTGCAATTCTTTCTTCTTCTAGGTACCACAGAAGACGCAAGAAGGTCAATCCTCCTAAAGAGAGATGATTACAATAATTTCTTGTCTATGTTCTTTGTTATTATCCACTACTGGAAATAAACCACAAAATCAAGAGTTTTGCTGATCAGTTCTATGTTGGTGTTTTGTATATATAAATAAAACCTGACACTGAAATTCTTGTATGGGTATCCAGATGGAAAGTCCCAGTAACAGAGCTGAATACCTAAGGCTTCCTAGAAAATTGAAATTAAATAAGTGAGACACAGATGACCTTTAAAATTGAGATGAAAGAATATTTGGCTCCTACAGCTGTTGATGATTGCAAGTAATGTTATTGCCTCCGGGTACCACGTTACAAGTGTTTAAAATTGTCATATCTTACTGAAACTGGCTAGCTCTAGTTACAGCTTAGATTCAAGGTATAATTAACTCATATTTTTACAGACTGCCTGGAGCACCCAAATGTATCTATTTAAAAAGCTAACATTCAGTAAATTGTGTTAGGTATACGACACTCTTTTGTAGCTGTGTGGAGGAAGGAATGTCTGTTATCGCAGGGTAGTCAGTAAATGGCCAGCCCTTTCCTCCCTGTCAGGGAAGGCTTAGCCCTAAGAAGCACTTTTTCTATAATCTCTCTCAATTTCCAGAGATTGTGATATTTAGATCCTCTGTGTCCTAATCGAAGGACACTACAGGCCAGTCAACTTAACTGGAAAGATAATGGAGCAAATATTAAGGAATCCATCTGTAAATATCTGGAAGATAATAAGGTGATGACAACATGGATTTTAAAGAACAGATCATGTCACACCAACCTGATAGCTTTCTTTGATAGGATAATAAGTTTTGTGAATAAGGGACACATTAGACATAGTATACCTAGACTTTAGTAAAGCACTCGATGACTGTCTTATAGATAAACTAAGGAGATACAACCTAGATGGGGCTACTATAAGGTGGGTGCATAAATGATTGAATAATTATTCTCAGAGTAGTTATCAATATATCACGGTCATGCTGGAAGGGCATAACAAGTGAGGTTCTGCAGATATCAGTTTTGGAACCAGTTTTCGATAATCTTCATCAGCTATTTAGATAATGGCATCGAGAGTAAGCTTATAAAGTTTGTGGATGATACCAAGCTGGGAGGGATTGCAAGTGCTTTGGACAATAAGGTCATAATTCAAAATGATCTGGACAAACTAGAGAAATTATCTGAGGTAAATAGGATTAAGTTCAATAAAGACACATGCAAAGTTCTCCATTTAGGGAGGAACAAAATCGGAAGTCGCTGTCTCGGAGGGAGTACTGCAAAATGGGATCTAAGGGTCATAGTGAACCACAAGCTAAGGATGAGTCAACAATGTGACACTGTTGAGGGGGGGAATGCAAACATCACTTTGGGATGCATTAAGAGGAGTGTTAGCAAGACAAGAGAAGTAGTAATTCTGCTCTGCACTGATTAGGCCTCAACTGGAGTATTATATCTGTTTCTGCTTTGTTAGTCATATTAGCAGATTGTGATGCAGAATCAGGTCATTGTTTTCTCAAGTGGCATCTAAATGCATCAAACTAGATCATAGCCCAGTCATGTCATGCTGTACAGCTGTGGTCACCAACCGGCAGGTCGTGATCTACTGGTCAATCTCAGGGGCTCTAAGAGTTGATCTTGAGCCCTCTCTGAACTGCGCGCCTACGCAGTACTTTTACATTGGCATTCCTCATTTGAGGAGCAGGTACTCACCGAGCAGCAACACAGGTGAGTAGCTGGGCGGAATGGTGGGAGCTGTGAGGTTGGGAGGGCTGAAACACCCGGCCAGCTGGCTGTGGCTTTCAGCTGGAGGAGGTTGCACTGTGCTCCAGCTGATCGGGCAGCTTCTCCTCTGTGCCTGCCCACGTGGGGCACCCTGGCTGAGTGCCATGGCCAGCTGGAGCACATATTTCCTTGGTTCAGTGGTCAGAACTTCCTTCTTCCAAAAAAAAAAAAAAAAAAAAAAAACACCTTAAAAAAAATGAATAGTCTAGTAGCACCTTAAAGACTAACAAAACATGTAGATGGTATCATTGGGTTTTGCCCACGAAAGCTCATGATACCATCTACATGTTTTGTTAGTCTTTAAGGTACGGTTCAGCCTCCTCCAGGCTGAACACCACAGCCAGCTGGCCAGGCAGCTTCCCCTCTGCACCAGCCCATGTGGAGCGTGGTACACCCTGGCTGAGAGCCATGGCCAGATGGCTGGGCAGCCACTTCTCTTTGCTCCAGCCCTACTGCCCTGTGTTGAGCCCGGAAGGCTGCACCACGCTCCTGCTGATCAAGAAGCCATTCCTCTTTTGCTCCAGCACAGCTAGAGCTAGGTGCAGCCTCCCTGGGCTGAGCACAGGGAGCAGGGCTGCAGTAAAGAGGGGTGGCTGCCTGGCCAGCTGGCCATGGCACTCAGCCAGAGATTTCCCTACGCTCATGGAGGTGTATATCCCCCTGAATTTCCCCAACATTCCCCAGTCTTGTGAACTATGGTGCCATACAGCCCACCTTCACCCTCATGGTCTCGCACCTCATTGGCCCTGACACTCCCCCTTGTAAATTCGAACAACCGCCCTAATTTCAATTCCTGGGGAGGCTACTGTTTTCAGCCCAGGTGCACCATACTCCACATGGGCTGACAGGAGAAGCCACCCCATTAGCTGGAGCAGGGCAGCTGAATGCCAGCCATCTGGCCAGGCAACTTCCCCTCTCTGCCATATTCTAGGAGCCTCAGTCTCTCCCCAGACATAGATCTGCTCAGCCCTGCCTTTTGGGGAGTTTTCCTCAGTGCATGGTAATGAGAAATGGTACTTCTGCTGCTTTTCCTTTCCCTGTCCTCTCCCAGGTGTAGCTGGTCCAGTCCAGCCCAGTGACAGTAAAGCCTGGAGCGACACTCATATTGACCTGTGCTGTCTTGCGTGTATCCATCACTGACAGCGGCTATGATTCTAACTGGGTCTGGCGGGGTCCTAGGTCTAGCTCCAGCAGACCACACTGACTAGCATGCACAAATAAATCATGAAAATTTTCAATTCTAAATCCAAACAGCTGTAAAAGCTGTCTTCAGTCTGTCCATGACAATATCACCACACTGTACCAAAACAAATATCACACATTTGGTAGTTTAGTGCTGTCTTGCTTTTTATTTTAGCTCTATCTCCCTGCCTGGCGATAATCATGAATGGTGCACCTAAGCCACTTAAGAAATAAAAAATGTACAACTTCCACGTGGAATGGGAAAATTAACTTCTGTTCACAAATATAAAAGATAAGAGCATATGCTTGATACGTCATCAAAGTTTATCATTAAGTAAAAGGGGTAATTTGGAACGATACCACAACAGTACATAGTAAATTCAAGGATAGTTTTCCCTTGAACAGCGTGCTACATACAAAGAAAGTTAACAAACTGAAGACCATTTTGAAAGCTTGACAGTCATTTTTTAAACCAGCAAAAGGCAAGCCTGCGCTGAAGCACCATTTTGTATTTGCCATTTGCTGGCAAAACACAAGACATCATTCACAGATGGCAAAATAATTAAAGAAGCAATGACTGGCAGCTGACTCTTTATTCAAACATTTTAAAAACAAAGAAGAGATAAGGACAGCGATCCAGGGCGTGTCACTTGGTGCTTCCACTGTAGCAAGAAGAGTGGAATTTTTGTCTGAAGATGTCTTTCAGCAACTACAGCAGGACCTGAAGGACTGCAATTGCTTCTTGCTGCAGTTCGATTAATCTATTGACATGACCGACACTGCCCAGCTGATTTTTTTTTTTGTGCATATGTTTTTTAAGGATATGACAATTAAAGAGGATCCTCTTACCCTTTTGCCCCTTAGAGAGAACAAGAGGTGAGGATATATACAACACATTCAGAAGGTATGTGCTTGAAAAACATTCCAATCAAGAAACGGGTTTTCATCACAACGGATGGTGCACAAGCCATGCTTGGCACAAATGCAGGCTTTGTTGCATTTTGCAGGAATTATCCTGATTTCCCTTCTTTTGTCAATTATCACTGTATAATCCACAGCAAGTATTAGCAAGTAAAGTATGGACTTCTCTCATATAATGAATGTAGTTGTTAAGATTGTAATCTCAATTCGAGCAAGACCCCTTCAGCATCGCCTGTTTAAATCCTTACTTGAAGAATTGGATTCTGCCTACGGTGAACTAATCCTCCATGCTGACGTGAGGTGGCTAAGTCAAGGAAAGATTTTTAGAGCTGATGCCTGAAATCAACACTTTTCTTAAATCAAGGAATGAAGTGTGCAGTGAGCTGTCAGATAGTGCATGGTTGCTAGACTTTAGGTTCCTTACAGATATGACATCAAAACTGAATGAGTTGAACTGTGAACTTCAAGAAAAGGACAGAGACTTAGCACATATCCTCAGTGCTGTGAATGCATTCAGATTGAAACTGGGCCTATGATCCTCCCAATTAAAGAACAGAACATGCATCACTTCCCAAGTTTGGAGGGAATACTAGAAAAAATTGAGAGAGAAAAATGGTTCCACCTAAAAGTTTTGTGCACACCCGAAGAAATTAGCAGAGGAATTCAACAGGAGATTCCAGGAATAAGATGTCATGGAACCAATTGTCATGTTTGTCTCTCATCCATTCCTTCAAGTAGAAGACATTGGTGGCTTGGCTACCAAATTTCATCAGGTGTTTCATTTATAAAGCCAGTGGACTTGACATGGAGATAATTACTATGCAAAATGATATTGAGCTGAAAGTCAGAGCAAGGGACAGTGAATTTTGGAGACTAGTAAAGAGAGAAAACTACCCACTTCTATCGTCTTGTGCTTTCCAAGTGAAGGCTACTTTGGCTCCACATACCTCAGTAAGACGGCATTTTCCCAATTAAAGATAATCAAGTCCAAGTATCGAACCCGCCTCACAGATGCCCATCTGATGGACTATATACAATTAGCAATCTCAGACTACAACCCAGACTTCAAGATACTGGCAGATACTGTTCAGTCACAGGTGTTACACTGACTTTGTTATTGGAGGAAAAAATATATAATTATCAGTACTTGATTTTAGATTTACAAAATAGCAGAGGACAAAATGTATAATGATAAATGCTTCATT